TTTTTTACAGTACACACCGCCACCCACACTCCCACCCCGACTCCACATCCTGACGATAGAACATAGGGAAAAGAAGATTCCGATCACGATACAATACAACAACGGAGAAAGGAGTATTTGTCGAAACAGAGTTATACAATAAATACAGCTCGAATATTGATGCTGCAGCAAGAAAATGATCGAACAAATTTTTTTTATGCCAATTCAATGATTGATCTAGATGAGAAAACATAGTCAAGAGTCAAATACTATCGACTAATCAGAGTGGGTTTGTAGCCTTGAATAAATCCTATCTATTGAGACTTTCGTCAGTTGAAACGATCAAGGTGTTCCACAGATAACGTCAACAAATTATACATGCCCATATTGAAGACCTCATAGATAAGACACATATGTTGTCCGAATCCGTTTTTGATACAGAATAAATAGAATGATCTCTGATTTTGGTTTCGAGTACGAGTGGATGGAAACTTTCGTGTGAGATGTATAAAATCAAAGCTCGCGGTGAAGATTATGAAAATGTACGAAAGGAGCTTGATTCATTTGTTGGATGGCTTCGACCATGTAAAGCTTTACACTCGCATACAGGTCGATCACTATGCCGCTTTATTGATCCACAAACAAAACAAGCATCGTCCAATATTGAAAGCCTCATCAGACGTATTATTGATATCACACTGACTTCGGCTGATCTCTGACCACGAGTTCGAGGACCAGCAACGACAAGAGAAATATGAATGAAGCGGTGGCATGGACAGTAGTATTCCATTTTCACTGTAAACTAGAAGGTAGTTTTATTCATGACAGGGTTGTTGCCAATCAGTCGGCTTGACCTCCAATAACTAGTCCACCTCAATTATGGGTTCATTTTCAAAATAATATCTCGGCTATAGACAAAGCTTTAATCGATGGAAAACAGCAGATTCCGGAACTCCGAGACTCTAAAGATCTTCAAGGAGCTCCATCTTCCTCTGGAGTTATGGAGTCTCTGTTATTATAAAAATAGGTGGCTGTCCGCAGTCTCTTATTGAGAACAAGGAATGACCACTAAATCAATGAAAAGTAATGTGGACATTTGCACTAACTATGCATAGATTATTAAATAACCTTGTACTCAAAGAAACAAAGAGCGATTATATTACTATAAACAACTTACGTATTTGGCTAATAATCGATGGAGTCGTGTAAAAAAAATAAAAGCTAACTAAAACATAAATATAAAAGCAAGAACTCAACAGATCAAGCATGTAAAACAATAATAAGTGGACCAGTTGCCTAGAAAGTATCAACTCGATAAAAAAAGGTTTCTGGGTGAGATAGTATCAAAGAAACAAGAGAAGAAGCACGAGATCTAATAATGTTTCTCATGTAAACCATATTTTGTTCTCGTTTTTTTTACTACTTTACCTAAATCAAGTGAAGATTATATTCAATGAATATTTACATCACTTGATCGTGGGACGCAGATTAAAGAATATTATCAAATTGACTCATTTAACACTTTACAACTATGATTTAATTCAATTGGCAAATGATGATTATTAAATGTACACATGTTCAACGATTGCAATCCACAAACGGAAACACCACTCTAAGTCCTTTTTTATGATCAGCATATGGCATTGATAATACAAAAACAGCGAATGATATATTGGAAAGCTGGCATTATATATTCAATCAATATTTACGAAGAAATATACGCATAATTAATATTTCTACTGGTGAGAAAATAATTAAATATTATTAATTTAGATATTAATGAAGAGGAACTTTTTTTCATAGATGCTGATCCAAAATATCTGTCTGTCATATGTTCACCGCGTCGTTTACTCGAATCTGTTCCTAATTTTCGAGTCCATTACCATTCGCGAGCTTTTCAAATACAAACAATATCAGGTTGGCATTGTGTTTATCTACGTAGGGTATGGGCGTGAGGTGTGGATGTGGATCTGGGCCCTAGTGAAAATACTCATCAAGCGAGTACGACTTGCCAGCATGAGTACTCAAATTACTCGTTCGAGTACTTGAGATATTTTATGTGTAGTTATGGTTATCGTATACTTATGCGAGTACTCATGTGAGTTGTTTCTCTAAAATTTACTCGTAGAAAATAGTGTGAGTGCTCAAAGTAGTACGCATTCCCATTGTTCGACGGAATGTGCAACGAAACACCAATGCACTAGGATATGGACAAATAAAATAAACTTTAATAATAAAGAAAATAATGAAAATAATTGAAGAATTAGAGACAAGTATTTTGAAACCTAGTTTAATTTCGTCCTACACTTTTCACTGATGAGTCATCGCAACCGCTTCAATGAATGGCTACTTAAAATACAAAGAGTGGCTTATTCATTTTCAAATGTTCATTTTCTAAGTAAACTAGAATATGCAATTAGATTTATCTGAACGATAATTTATTCCATTTCAATTCTTAAATTTTAGATAAAATATACTTTTAGATTAATAAATAATGTTTTAAGTCCATAAACGAAACTAACGAAACAAGTGATAACTAATAAATTTTCGTACAGATTATTTCGATTTAAATAGTCTTGAGGTACGGACGTCATGATAAAGACACTAAGTTTATTTTTTTTATTGTTCTTATACGTGTTACTAGATAAAGTCTGGTTAAAAGTTTTATGGAATTGTTTTTTTTGTCGTAATCACTTTAAAAATTTTCGTTTCCATTATTGCATGCCTTAATATTTTACCCCTTATCTGTCTGTACTGATATTATAGTGTCTTCAATATTTATTTTTGTGTACTGTTTATTTTCTTCTACAGAGAAAATGTCTGTGTTGTGATATATTAAAAAGAGAAAAATATAGTTGAAAGCTTTCATTTCTCGAAATTTCATAATATTTGCTTGTGCCACATCGTTGACTGTTACATAAAATAGAAAGAATATAAAATAATAATGATGAACCAACTATAGATGTGTGAGAATTTTGTAAAAAAAACATTAAAGTACTCAAAAATGGAAGATGAGTACTCGTAAAAGACTCGATTTTCCACGGCGAGTACTTGGCAGTCGTACTCATGTACACAAATCCTAGCACGAGTACTATTGATGAGTACTCAAACCCCATGAGTACTCATGAGTACTCGTGACAATTTTCAGCGTGAGTACTTTTTGAGTACTCCCATACGAGTACCTTCACTAGGGGGAGTGAACAGAAGATTCACACCCACACCCAAACCTTCAATGAATGGAGATTTAGAAATGTCTTATCAATGATGTTCAATCGAGAGAGCAAAGATCGTTTTTATCAAATAGTGCCGAAGATATAACTTGCGACGTTGAATAAAGCATTTGGACAGAAACAAAGCCAAATTGACTCTTGTTCATCGATATATTCACATAATCAAAGTCCATTTGAAAGTAAGAACAAATCAGAGTAACAGAACAAAGACGCTTGTTGACCAAGCATGAAGATAAGAGGATATCAACTAACGTAATATTGTCTAGAATTTTATAAATTAATTCTATCCGTAATCTTGTCGGATGATCCAACATATTGCTTCTGATTTTGTCACTGTTATATCTATGTTTTATAATAGTATGTGGGTAGATGTGAATGTGAGTGGGACATGAATGTAATAGCTCTTCTCCCATTACATTGCAATCAGACAAAAACATCTCATTACCAATAATGTATTCCAGTGTAAACATAGAAGAGCGACCTCTTGTGATCGGTGTGATAGTTACTAACTGATTTTTATATAGCATGATATAATTCATAGTATATAAAAATCCAGAAGCATCGATAAGTATGTGCATGCTACTTTTGATAAAAAATAACTTTTTCAATCTTTGTAGCACACTAGATTCAGTTGGTCTATAAACAAGAAGGCAACTCACAATTCTTGCGGAAGATGCGAAATTGAATTTGAAACGTTGCATCATTGAAATCAAAGAATTGTGCAATACTCTCTATGTATGTCGCACGTTTTTGTTTGCGTGCACATTTTTCATTTATGAATAAGTGATGGCCGTATACATTTGAGAAATTGAACCTATAACAATTTCAATTGGAGATCAAAGCCTAGTTTTAAATTCATCTGAAGTATCGTTCGTTATTCGATGGCAGATGGTCAGGTACGGTCTGATTGAGTTTTTTTTCTTTCGTTTTTTGCTTCAGTCAATGTTCATAGGCTTGACTGTTACCTAACACAAGATTATGTTAAATTAAACCACTGCTCAATCGTACGAAAGAAGTGAACTATTAGAATTTTAAGTCTACATTGATTTCACTTACAATTTGTTGAAAATCTTGACTTTTTCACATCATTTCAGGTTCATGCACAGTAAACAGAAAAGCGAAAATTAAAATGTTTTTTCACAAATCATGATAAAAATTTATAATATTCTGATCTGTTCAGAGACAGAGGAGTTAGTACTATGCAAAATATCTGCCTAATGAGGTATTTTGTTACCTCTTATTGCGTGATATCTGACAACCTACAGTTGAATGCCAGTTCATATTAAAAGTGAAAATATTGAAATTTAATAAGTTAACGTAAATCCTATTTCGCTAATAAAGACGTCTACCAAGATGTTGTTCTATTTTTTGGAAATATTTTATTAGTTATATAAGCATTTTAGTTTCAGTTTTTCAAAATTTTTATCTAAAAAACTTATTAGAAGCTATTAGAGATGTTTCACACCTCTTAAGACATGTTGTAGAAACTCGATATTTTTTTTTCTAGGCTTTACAATTATTAGTGACCAATAATTGTAGGATTGGCTTTATCGTTGTAAGTAGCCAGGAAGCATTGTTTACAATACTGCATGGTAATTTTCGAGATGTAATCACAAAATTTTCAGTTGACTTACCGCGAAAACGTCGATATGGTGGTGCAAGTGCACTTCGACAGGCACGACTTCGAAACGAAAAACGGTATAACTATATACAAAAAGTATCAGAAGTGGCTGTACAATGTTTTATAACCGATGGCAAAGTCAATGTAACCAGTATTATTCTTGCTATTGAAGGCACTTTCACAAGTGAATTTCAACAACCGGATATATTTGATCCTGTTAGTTGTTTTTCTTTGTTTTGATAATGATAACTAGGAAAAATTATGTTTTGTAGCGTCTTCAAGAAAAACTTCTTCAACGTGTGATTATTTCCTACGGTGGTGAGAATGGATTTAATCAAGCAATTGATTTAGCAAGTGAAACACTTAGCAATATTAAATTAATACAAGAGAAAAAAGTTATTTGTAAGCTTGATTCAACATGTGATTAATTTTCCAACGTTTTTGTTTTTTTTTTTTGCTATATTTAGCTCGATATTTCGATGAAGTATCCAAGAACTCGAATAATTATTGCTTTGGTGTCGATGAAACACTCAAAGCACTGGAAATGGGTGCTGTAGAAACTTTAATTGTATGGGAAAATTTCGATGTAAAACATTATTTTCTACATGATAGCCAACGATCGAAAATGTATACGATACATTTATGTGTCGATCAAGAAGAAAAACTTGATTCTCAAGACAAAGATACAGATGCCAAATGGGAACATGTTGAGAAAATGCCATTACTCGAATGGTTTGCCAAAAATTGCAAGAAGTTTGGTAAGAAATAATAAATCATTTATCTGTTATTCTCTTCATTTTCCTAGGTACCACACTCGAAATTGTGACGGATAAAACGCAAGAAGGTTCTCAATTTGTGCATGGCTTTGATGGCATCGGCGGTTCGTTATCATTTGACGTATCTTCTTAATTTTCTCCTTATACTTGTAGGTATTCTTCGTCCCACGATAAATTTTCAAAATTCTAATATTGATAAAGATGCAGAATTAATCGATCACAGTAAGTTGAAAGAAAAAGAAGATGAATTTCTATAGTTTATATTATAGATGACAATGATTATACATTCTTCTTCGATTAATCTAAGCTTTTCTATGATTTTCTTGAACTCGCTTATTATTCATTTTATGGTTTTCGATTGAATATAAGCAGTAAGAAAAAAAATCAAAAAGAATGTTTACAGCAAATAAATTGAGAGAAAGATTAAGGGTATGGGTACCATAATCATTTAACATAGAATTCACACGGGACACTACATTCATCCAACCTAGAAGATGATTAATTTCTTTGAACTATCATATGCAATGAATGAGACAAGTAAAGTTTTAAAAGTAGTCATCAAGCTCACCTGAAAACGTGCAAAAAGGGTGTAGGTGTGAATGTGGGTGGGTGTGGGTGTGGGTGTGAAAGGATGTGTGGACTGAGTGATGAGGAGATCCACACCCATATATATACCCACACCCTTCAGCCACTCACACTCATACCGCCCACACCCACCCTACACACCCTCTAGTTTTTATAAGTCTTCATGCCGCCTAGATGAAACTCTATATTATTCGTCATTTTAAGGATAGAGGAGGATGAAAGTGGGTAGATGTACGTCTTTTCAAACAGATTCCCTCGGACGCATGCTCAGTCGCGTTCTTACTTGCATCTTCAACGCATCCACGTCAAGATGCGAAGGTGTGAGGTATGTGAGAGGGTGTGGGATATCAGTGTGCTTATGTGCCAATTAAGTAAAAATGTTCGCGTAAATGGATGTGAATGAAGAGAAGACTATCACCGACACCCATCAATTCAGTCACACGTCCAGACTCACATTCTTAACTTGACATACTACTATTTATCCTGAGCAGTTCCAATTTTTTCCATTTGAACAGTGCCGCGTTCAATATAGAGAGGGTGAGGGTGTATTCTCTTCATTTACACTCACAACCACACTCACCCGAATCGAGTTCAAGAGGTTTGTAGAGATATAAAACTTCTTCATAGATTATATAAAAATTATGGTGAACTGTTACAATAAATGCATTGGCTTAAACAATTGATTGAAATTTTGTCCATTGGGCGAAAGTATTAATTGTGGACAAATAATAAATGAAAATTATTTTTAAACTTAGAATTCATCGATTGAATCGAAAATTCCAAGAGTAATTTTGAAAAAGAAAAACCCGAGAATAAACATTAAATCAATTGTCTTTTGGCAAGAATTGAACCGATTCATTCACATCAAGACGTATACCTGCGAACTTTGATTGACAAGCAATTCTTTGAAAATCAAATTGCGAGTACTATTGCCAATGATTATTTTGTATGATGCTATTGGCAAAGAGTATTGACCTAGATAGTAACATAATAAAGCAAGATACTGCTAACATTTTCTTTGTTTTTTACATTTTCATTTGTGTTGTCAAAAAGATTTGTGATGTCTATTCTTAAAATACCTTGTAAGCATACAAAATACATGCATAATCACTAGTTACTGTGATGTGCCTAATCTCTTCTTTGTTGAGACGACGCTCGATAAGAACAGTAGAAAATGCATATGTGTAAAGTAATAAAGTGACCTTTTATCCATTTAAGGGAATGAATTTCTTATTATTAGATTTCTGCAGAGTCCATCAGATTTGATTCTATTCATTTGAAGGATCAAAATTTCACGTGAATTGGATAATCTTAAACTTCAATCGAAGGTCATTTCAATGAAAGTAGTAGTGACGAAGTCTAATATACTCTATTAGGCTTGACTTCCTCATTGGCCATAAACCAAAAGTTATTTTCTTATATTGACTAAAATAGACGGATACTAAGGTAAAGTATTGAGTTTTATTGTTTTGATCAGCCCGATACAGGATCGATCCAACTTGATGCTTCATGGTTTGTCGATTTTACATGCCAAAACATGCATCTTCATGAGATTAACTTGTTTAAAAAAATGCATTTTATAACATTTCATATTATTCTCGAGAAGACATGAAAATTAGCGTTGTTTTTTTAGTTTTACCAGTTTACGTTCTCATCTGACGAAACTATTTATTACAGATTTATAAATCGCAAAAAAAATCTTTCTAAGTCTATAAAAGCAATAAAACAAATCCTGTAGTAAAGTTGTGCTTCAGAATGAAATATACGCTTTCACACATTCAATTGCAAAAAAACATAATAATAAAAATATAAAGTTAAGCATTTGTGCACATTCTATTGCAATAAATTAATTCATTTTGCTTATCTAAGACTCGAAATGTACAGAAGAACACTTGTATCTGGATAAAACCCACACACTTAGAAGGTATAAATCCTTGTAGCAATTTCGATTACTCTGTTTTATAGAGTTGAAACTCTATTAGACGAAAGAATTCTTTTATTTTTCCTATTTTCGCTTCAATATCATCATTCATCATGAGTTTCACTCTAGTGTGACAGTCCATGGTTTACAGGAACATGACAAATAGATCTATTATGTTTTCTAAACCTATTTTCAAATGATCTTGAGTCCTTAGAACAAGAATAGGAAAAATCGCTGACTTTTGTCTCATTTTCCATGCCCGAAAATCGCACCAGCTAGAAAAAAAATCAGTAAAATCGTCGAAGGATCAAACGAGATTTCGATTAAAACTTGAAATTTTTGTTCTTCTTTCAATCTCGAATTTGTGACCTGTTCGAAAGGAGTTTACTAAAACGATGACTATGTAGATGTGCAAGTGGTGACAAGTGAACACTTACCTATTTACGTTCGCCTTGAACTAATCTTATTATGCTGTTCTTCTCAAATTTATCGATGTCTGTCGATCAAAGTCACTCAGAAATAAATCAGAATCTACTTGCAGGTATTCAAAGTAATATAAAAATGAATCGATCAGAAAGATCTTCGATATAATAGGAAATCAATGTTTTACTTGATAGTTCTCGCAGCAAGGAAAATCAATAAGCGATAATTTAGTTTTATCTCTTTCTTTGTACATAAATGAGATCTCATTTCTTTTTCTTTTTAAATTTTTCATAACTGCAGCATTTTCCGTGGACCAATAGACATCATGCACCAATCTATTACAGACTTCGTTTTTATTGGACTTGTAATCACTGTCTATACTAATGGTTTGCTGTTGAAGTCAACGGAACGTATCGACTGTTATCCAGAACGTGAATCCTCATTTTCAAATTATTCGAAAGAAACTTGCCTAACACGTAATTGTCTATTCGATGATAATGCACTTCCAAATGTTATTCAATGTTATTTACACCCAAACTATGGATACATTTTACAATCAGATATTCAGCAAACGGAAAAAGGTATTCGTCTACGATTACGACGAAATCAAGCTATTGACAGTATGTTTCCTGCACCTATCAATAATGTTGTTCTCGATGTACAATATTATACCGATGACATACTTAGATTCAAATTATATGATGAAGATAATCAACGATATGAGGTATGATTTTGAATAATTATCTTCATTTATGTTTTTTTCTTTTATTTTCGTATTGTCAGGTACCAATTCCATTAACTCCACCATCTGATCAAATTTTATCACCTCAATACGAATTTCTATATTCATCAAATTCTTCACGTGACAATCTTTTATCATTTGCAATTCAACGTCGCAGTGATCGAGCAATATTATTCGATACATCACCTGGAGGTCTTGTACTGAATAATCAATTTCTTCAAATAATCACACAACTTCAATCATCTCATGTATATGGATTTGGTGAGAATAATCATGATACTTTGAAACACAATGTTAGCGAACATAAATCATGGGGTATATTTGCTCGTGATCAAGGTTAGTTATATTGTAAATGACTAAACAATCAATGATAACGTTAAATATGTTAAATGTTTAGGTACTAATTGGGATCGAAATGCAAATCATTATGGTTCACATCCATTCTATCTTGTTATGGAACAGTTATCAAATTCTAATCAAACACCATCAGGTAACATGCATGGTGTTCTATTGCTCAATTCAAATGCAATGGATTATTCATTTTCATCGTTACCATCGTTAACCATACGTACTATTGGTGGTATTCTCGATTTTTTTTATATTTCTTGGTCCAAAACCAGAACAAGTCATTCAACAATATACATGGCTCATTGGTCGATCGATTCTTCCACCTTATTGGTCACTTGGTTTTCAGCTTGCTCGTTGGGATTATTCGAATTTAACACACATGCAAATGGTTGTTAAACGAAATCGTGATGCTGGAATACCACTTGATGTTCAATATGCTGATATTGATTATATGGATGCAAGAAAGATTTTTACTATCGATCCAGTTCATTATCGTGGATTAAAAGAATATTTTGCTCAATTAAATACTGAAGGAATTCGGACCATTGTTATACTTGATCCTGGTATGATTGATGATCAAGTATATTATCAACCAACAGTTCAAGGTATTGAAGAAGATGTTTTCATCAAATGGGATGATAAACAAACATTAGTGAAAGGATCTTGTTGGCCAGGCGATGTATTCTTTCCAGGTTTGTCTTTCAAATTAAATGTGATTTGTTTGTTTTTTTTTGAGAAGAAAAATTCAAGTCATTCCTATTATATAACATCAATAGTGATTATTACGAGTCAATATCGAACTACAAAACGATTGATTTTAGAGAAGTTTTCTTTAAAGAAAAAAAGCAAAGCTTTTTTTTCGATATGTGTTCTTCTGATTTTTTTTCCACATAGATTTCTTTCTCAATCAAACTCATGTTTGGTGGTCACGTTGGATAAATGATTTTCGACGAATCAATGTATCATTTGATGGACTTTGGATTGATATGAATGAACCGGGTATGTTTATTACCATATTGATAAAAACAAAAACAAATTTTGAGAGTAATCATTATAGGATTGCATTATGAAACATAATGCTTTCTTAATATATCTTATGATCGTTTCAGAGACAAGACTATCTTCAATAGAAGAATTTGATTTGACATGAGAGACTTTATAAAAGTCTTTAGGAATGTTTTATATTTCTTCGAAACATTGCGTACCATCTCTCAGAGGAAGGTACTATGAACGAAGTGTTTTGTCCGATGTTTTTGTACACATAGGATTCTAAAACCCTATTTCTGTTGTTTAAATTTATCAAGGTATTTTTATTCATTATTATGTTTTTAAAGAAAAGAAATAAATTTCTTGTTTGATATTTCAATTTTCATTATTGATTATATTTCGAAAACATGATTGAACTTTTTGACATTTTTTGTTGACAGCTCTCTTTGATACTAACAATGATATTCCATGGAATTGGATGCAAACTGGTAGCAATCACACATTAAAATGTCCATATAACGAATGGGATAATCCACCTTATCGAACCAAAGCTGTATATCGTTACGATGGTAATTGGGATCGAATTGCTCGTATTTCCGATCGTACAATGTGCATGTCAATTCGACAAGGTGATATTGATCCGAAAACAGGTCAACCAAAGTATCGTCATTATGATGTACACAGGTATGAAAAGTTTATAATTATATAAATCGAAGATATTAAATTTTGCTTAATTCTAGTTTGTATGGATGGAGTCAAACGAAGCCAACATTAGATGCAATGCGATTAATAACTGGTAAACGAAGTTTAGTTTTGCCTCGATCGACTTTTGTTGGTTCGGGTCAATGGAGTGGTCATTGGCTAGGAGATAATGATGCAACATGGGATGAAATGAAACGATCATTAATTGGTATGATTGAATTCAATTGGTTTGGCATTCCATTTAATGGTGCTGATATATGCGGATTCGGTGGAATACCAAGTGAAGAAATGTGTATTCGGTAATAATTCTATATGATTTTTTTTCAAAAAAAAAGAAATCAATTATTACTCTTTTGTTCTAGTTGGATGCAAGTTGGTGCTTTCTATCCATTTTCTCGAAATGTAAATTTACACATAGATTAATATTCAAATACAAGAATATTTTATTCTTTTTTAGCATAATGTTCGAGATACACCAGATCAAGATCCAGCATCATGGCCTACATCAGCTGTGGCTATTATGGTTTCCACACTTCGTATTCGTTATACTCTACTTCCTTATTATTATACACTTTTCTACAAAGCACATACACAAGGTTCAACAGTAATTCGACCACTATTTCATGAATATCCGACAGATAAAGTTACATTAGATATATTTCTTCAATTTCTCATCGGATCATATATTATGATAGCACCTGTGACTGATGAAAATGCTCGACAAGTTCAAGTTTATATTCCATCATCACCATGGTACAATTATTATACGGGTGTAAGGATTCCGGCAAATAAACAATCGATATCAATGGAAGCACCTTTAGATACAATTCCTATTTTGCTTAAAGGTGGAGCTATTGTGCCAACACAAGGCTTTGCTAACAATACAAAATTTTCAAGGTAAAAATGAGCGTATAATTTTTAATGTTTTTTTTTTCTTATTTCTTCAAATTTTCCAACACATTAGAGAACAATCATTTGGTCTCACCATTGTGATTGATTCGAATGGAAATGCTGACGGTGATCTATTCTATGATGATGGTGAATCAATCGATACAATTTCTTCGAAAACTTATTTTTATGCGACATTCAATTGGTCATCAAGAGATGGTCAATTAACGATGAATGTTGTTCAAAATAGCTATCCACATATGTCAAATTTGATTCTGGACTCGTTGACTTTCTATGGACTCGATCCAATATCAACTACGATTCATGTTAAAGGAAAACAATTCCATCCAGCTGTACGACCTAATACAAACATAGTTGAAGTCACTGGTTTAGGATTGTCGATGGGTGAAAATCATATTTTTACAAGCAAAGGCATGGCTATTTTCGTCCCTCACTATTTACTTTTCATGTGCTTTACTCTCTGGGCTATACGAGGTCTTTTGATCGAGCATTGACTTTAACTTCGATATAAACGCATCATAGTTATCACCAATTGAACATGAAATTCAACTTTTTCTTTTACTCTAATGCATCAATATCTTTTTTATTGCTTGATAGTTTTGCTTGTTATAAGGATCTGTAGTTGACTGGTGAAAAGATTACCGGCATGATATATTCACCCAGAATGATTTACAGGCATTTGATCTTTAGTTAGTTTAAATTGCAAATAAACTCCACCATAGATAAGTGTATCACTGCTTATTTCACACAGTGTTTATTATGCGTTCCAATTCTTCTGCAAATGAATCCTTAATTGTTCAACAAGATGTATAAGAGTATGATCACGAACGTTGAGCCCGTCGGCAATAAGTATTTGCAATTGTTCTGTAGCATCTTATTACTTACCAACCCATGCTTAAACACATGATGGCGCGCTAGTCGACTTTAACTAGTGCACTTGTTCGCAAATATCTCGAACAAAATGATCGACTTTTTTTTGAATTTAGAGTAGATCATTAATAGTATAGTGTTTGCTTTGTCGAATTGAATAATCGGTCGATCACTTCTACTCAGCTAGTTTAAGCTGGATTGTTCTCATTCGCTTCTTTATTGTCATTTCGAATAAGTAAATACTTGTTCACGTGCAACAAGACATCAGCAACAGGAAAGCGAATTTGTCTGCCGATGACGTCTCGTTCATAGACCACTTCATTTGCTTTGATTCTATGCATTTCATCTCGATTCTTCTTATGTAGCTATCATGATTTCATTTCTCAATTTAAATCTTGTCAAATAATGAAGTCAGTATTTCATGATTTGTTCTACGATATTTTGCCTGTAATACTGTGACTCTGTTCGTTTGTGAATTGTACAATTTAAGAGTGAACTAGTTCATTATTGTGAAGTCACTTCCGATCACATAAAGGAGAATACGTTGTCTAGACAAAAACTCAAGATTAAATGATTCCGCATTGACACAGATTAAAGTGAAGATGTCTGCATGTAGATGTTCTCTTATACCATTCGAACTTATTTCATTCAAACAGAAACTGATCCCTCCGCAATTGACGATACGAATCTTTCCTTTGCCTGCAACTACTCACCAAACCTTAAATAGTGACTTTTTTAAGGGTTTTGCCAAATAGAATTGATAATGATTGTTAAAGTATCTACCAAGGATAGATAGGTGAAGAGAAGATTCTCGTTCTACTTATCCTCATGATATTTGTTGAGAATTATCAAAATTCCTTGTAAGTACATAGAATTCAGAAAAATAAAATTATTAGAAACAGTTAATCATTGTCTCTTATAGAAAAATGAGTTCATCAAAGTTTTCTGTGATCTGACGTAGACTGATCTTCTTAGTGTGTCTTTGAGAATGTATATCTTTGATGATTTCGATAAACTTTGAAGTATATGAACTATCTTCGCTTTTTTTTT